GTCTGATGCAGGGTGGGATGACCTTTTAACGACCCCAACGATATTTTTCATCCCACATGTCCTTACCAGGTGACTTTAACACTCCCCCACGGAGACTGTGGGGAAGTATGTGACTTTTGAGGTTAGATAATAAAAAGCTGTACAGCATCCTCCCAGTACGTTGGAACTCTTGATGTCTTCCACTGTCACTTAAGCACAGACTGCCCTGTACCTCCATTGCATGGTGTGCAATGGTGCGAGAGTAGCCCACACAGAGAGACACATGGGAGGCCCTGAGATTCATGATGACAGCTTTCCAGGCCTTCGGCTGCCCAAACCCTGTCCTGACTCTAGCCACGATCTGATTATAGCCCCACGGAACGCCCTAAACAAGAACCACCTACTCAAGTTTTCACCAAATTTCTGTCCTACAAAGCTACTAGGTTGGCTAGTCAGCAATAGGAAAGCAGAAAGCACTCTTTATGCACTGCTATGGATAGTCTTCAAGGTATAACATTAATATTTCAAAGTGCAGAATAGTGTACATTTTGTTCCCCTTTTGTTTAAAAAGTAGTAGTTTTTTCATGCATACATCAGTGTTTTTTCAACAGTAGTTGCACCGGAGGAGGCTTTTAAAAGATATCAATGCCTGAGCTCACTGGATACCAATTCAGCCATCTGGGGATGAGACCCGAACATTGTTATCTTTTAAAATCTCCCCCAAGAGGGGGAGATAGATGTAGTATGGGCACGGGAGGTTTGGTGGAGGGTGAGTAGAACAAGTACACATATGGAAGAGCAAAAATATAACTCCCGAAATTAAAATAAAAACTATAAAAAAAATTTCCCTAAAGAGATTCACATGCGCAGGCAGAATTGAGAACTGCTGCGATGGACTCAACCCGGGAGGCAGCACAGGAAACTGGTGATATGTTTGACACTTTTAGAACAGGGCAAAGGATTAAGGAGAGAGCGGCAGGGAGATTTATGTCTCATTATACATTCTATGACCTTTTGAATTTCTTGTACAGGTTACCTATATCCAACAACAGTTAACTTCTTAAAAAAAAAAAAAGGTAAGTGTAGGGGCAGGAAGGACACAGTGCAGGATCTCTATGACCCTATGCAGATGGGTGGAGGAGAGAGACCTTGAGCCCTCAGTGGCTTTTGCAGGTCTTTTATTTAGATTTATCAGGTATATGGCAGGTAAGGGTGCTGGGGGCCCGGGAGGCTGGCAGTCCTCCCAGCCCCCAGCAAATCTTCACTCTATCTGGGCTCTCTGGCGTTCTCTCGGTTTCCGTTCATTCTTGGTTTCTGCTGGCGTCCCTGTGACGCCGCCCTTATAAACTCAGTCTCTCAGCCCAGGTGTACCCACTTCAGGTGCCCGCCATCAGGCATGCATTCAGGACCACAGGGTTCCCTCATCTATCCTAATGGCGGGAGGGCAGAAAAGCCTGATACTTTTTACCTTACCCTAAAGTAAGTCACCTAGAGTTGTGAAAATGAATCTTGAACAGCGCATCAGGAACAGCCATTAAATAATGGGAGCGCCCACAGCAGTGGGGTCTCAGAGGAGGCGTCTGTCCTTGCTTGGAGAGTGGATGATCGGGAAGTGTTGAGGCTGTGAATCCTGAAGCAATCTCTCACCTTAAATGACTTCTCTGCTGATCCACAGCACCCCCAGTCAATTCGTCATTAGTCACTCTTTGCAAAAGCAGTTTGGAACAGAATAATGGCTATAATCTGTAACCCTCTGGCTACTGCCTCTGTGAACCCTGAGACCAACAGGAAGGCAAGTGCTGAGGCTTAGGTGAGAGGCTTAAAGATGGGCTCTGGCTGTCATCAAGGAAGATCAGATTAGCAGAGATTTGGCTGTCTCTTTAACCCTGTAGATTCCTGCTGCCTCAGTGGAGCACCGGTGAAGGAAGGTAGGAGCAGGAAACTTAGTTCAGCTCCATGGTCCCCCTGGGGATGTGCATGTGGGGATGCCACAACATGATATAGCAACTGGGATGCAAAATTGGGAAGGACAGAGGAACCAATGACTGACCTGCAGCTTCTTCTCATTGCTTGCTACTGGGTTCTGCCACCCATCTCCAAATCTACTGCTTGTCATCTGTATGACCTTGTGTAGGGTAAAGAAAATGTCAGGCTTTTCTGCCCTTCCGCCATCAGGATAGATGATGGATCCTTGTCCTGAATGCATGCCTGATGGCGGGCACCTGGAATAGGGTGTGGGCATAGGTAGATGGGATTCAGCTGAGTTAAGACTGTACTTTTAAGGGTGGCGTCACGGGGGGACGCCAGCAGCCCCAGCCAGCAGCAGCAGAACCTGAAGGAGAAGCCGACGCAGAAGCAGAGAACGCCAGAGAGCCCAGATAGAGTAAAGACTTGCTGGGGGCTGGGAGGCCTGCCAGCTCCCCAGCCCCCCAGCCAGCACCCCTGCCTGCCATATGCCTGGTGAACCCCAATAAAAAACCTGCAAAACTACTGAGGACTCTGACTCCTCCTTTACCCGATCTGCATGGGATCAGAAAACCTGCCTTGTGCCCTGTCCTGCCCCTTACACCTTGTTTCCTAACAATAGTGTGAGCCTCAGTTTCCTCATCTGCTAGGTAGACTAAAACATGTGGATTAAGAAAAAGAATGATAGGCATTATTGATGTCCATTTCTGCAAGGAGGATTCATACATTTGGTGAACACAGCAAGTGTAGTAGTTGAGAGTGGGCTTTACTGTCAGCTGTGGCTGGATTAAAATCTTCCTATTGTCATTTATTCACTGTGGGACTTTGGGCAAGGCACTTAACATCTCTGAGTCTCATTTCCACATCTATGAAAGGAGAATCATAATAAAGCAACAGCTCAAAAACCTCAGGGAGGGTTAAATAAAATAAAGAATGTGAAGAGTTTTGTGCTTCCAGAAACAAACATCCAGAAATCCTGTTGCCATTCTTCTGGCTTTGCCATTCTTCTGGGAGCTGACGATATACTTCACACTCATGGTCCTGTTTGACCCTCTCCAAGGACTCTGGGTGCCAGCCATTAAGTACCCTCTGAAAGATGAAAACATGGATGCCCATTGAGGTCAAGTGATTAGTGTCCCTCAGGGGTAGGAGCCAGTTGTTAAGGTTCCTGATATGGCTGCGACTTTTGTGATCTCTGAATCTGGAAAGTAAAAGAAACTTGAGGATCATTTCTAGATGAGAAAGGGAGTTTGTAGGGTCAGGACTGGCCACAGTGCAGGTTTTCTGATCCCATGCAGACCGGGTAAAGGAGGAGTCAGAGTCCTCAGTGGTTTTTGCAGGTCTTTTATTTGGGGTTCACCAGGCATATGGCAGGCAGGGGTGCTGGCTAGGGGGCTGGGGGGCTGGGAAGCCTCCCAGCCCCCAGCAAGTCTTCACTCTATCTGGGCTCTCTAGCGTTCGTTCTGCTGCTTCTCGGCTTCTCTTTCGGCTTCGGCTTCAGCTTCCACTGCTGCTACTGGTGCTGCTGGCGTCCCCCCATGACGCCGCCCTTAAAAAGCACAGTCTTGCTCAGCTGAATCCCATCTACCTATGCCTGCACCCTATTCCAGGTGCCCGCCATCAGGCATGCATTCAGGACAAGGATCCATCATCTATCCTGATGGCGGAAGGGCAGAAAAGCCTGATATTTTCTTTACCCTACAGAGTTGCTTAGATGGCTTTGGAGAGGTTCTTCGATTTTGCTTCCTTCACAAGGTTCCCTTTCACTCTCATCGAGTGAGACCCCTGTAGACGGTAAACCAGGAGCAGCAAGAACACATTAACATATACTGGCATTAAAATATGTTGTCAAGATTAAATTACTGGAGATGGGGCGCTCAGGGATGGCTAGCTGAGGAGAGAGGGCTGTTAGGCTGAGACCCGAGAGACAAACCAGGTAGCCATAATCATTGCGCAGGTCCTGATAGAGGACAAACTTGGCGGGCAAGGGAGGAAGGTCAGATGGAGAGATTCGAAGTAGGGAGGAAGGAAGGCCTCCCCGGTGGTGCAGCGGCTGAGCGCTGGGCTGCGCAGCTACCCACAGCCTCTGCAGCACGGTTCAATCCCCGGCCACCGGTGAGGGTCTCACATGGCGCGCAGACCTCTCCCGCCGCCCGCTGCTCCCCTCAGCAGTGTATTTCGTCAATCTGCTTGTTCTGCTCCCCGCTCTGGCTCTGGTGAATTCTCTCACCCTCCTGTGCTTCTGACTCTACTCAGTGCGTGTATAAATAAATAAATAAATAAATCTTAAAAAAAAAAAAAAAAAAAAAAGCAGGGAGGAATGAGCCAGAGTCCAGGGCCATCAGGGTCACGAGGGCCTAAGCAAGGGTTTGATTTTTACTTACGAATGTCAAGGAAAGTCACGGATGGAATTACATTTCATTATTTACTTTTATGATTATATTTCTTAAATAAAATATTTTATTTAACTATCTTTAAAACTGCTTTCTGGCTTTTGGGACCTTCGGTGGAGAACAGGTTCCAGGGAGCAAGAGCCTCTATCTTTTCGGTGGCCCCTTCCTCATTCGGGGGAATTCCGAAAACCCTCCTCCTCACAGAGCGAGGGCGTGGCGGGGAGCAGCGGAGGGCGAGCGGCGGGAGGCTGGGGTGTGCGCCTCCTCTCGGGGGTCCAGCTGCATCCAGGGAGCACGGGGCCCCACGGCCTCAGCCATAAAGATCCTGCCCCGCCGCAGCGCCGAGCGCCAGGCAGAGACTCTTTCTTCGGGCGGAGACCTAAGGTCGTTGAACTCCGCACACGCTGGAGTCGAGAGCCCACCCGCCCTAGACACCCGGCCGCCGGGCCCTTCTGCCAGCCCGAGGGCGGCGCCCCGCCCCGCTCAGGCGCGTCATTCGCTGGCGGCCGCGTCGCTCAAGGGCGAAGCGCTGCGACCGCCGAGGCAGGCGAGCGGGACGAGTCCCTTCCGCCCTCTCGGCCCCGCCTCCTCCGGGGGCGGAGCTATGGGCGGGGCCGGGGCCCGCCGGTTAAAGGGAGGGCGGCCCCGGCCGGGGCGCCTGTGCCCGCGCCGCAGAGGAGGTGCCGCCGGGCCTCGTCGCGCGAGGTGCCCAGACCTGAGAGGTGAGCCAAGGGGCGCGCGCAGGGCCGAAGGGGAAGGGAGCCGTGTCGGCCTCCGCGCGGCCCGCTGGCTCCCCTTAGGGTCGTCCTGGCCTGGTGTCCCGGCGCGGGGTGGAAGCCCGGACGCATCATGACCGCGGGCGTCGTGACCGGCGGCGGGAAGTGGGCGAGTGTCGGGGTTTTTCATTAGTCGCTGGAGGCGGTGGACACGTGTCAGCTGCCCTTCCCACCGGGGGACGCCGACAGGCTCTGGCTGCTGAGGGCGGCATACCCTGCACTCCGCGCATCTCCTGGTGGATACTGGTGCGTGCGAGCTTGTGGAGCCATCTCGAAGCCAGATTTCTGCAAGCAGGACTGGAAGACAGGAGCCTCCACCCGCCTCCGGTCACCCCCAGCCCCCACCCTTTGAACACATTGGGAAACTGAGGCCTGGACAGGAGAGATGTTTTGATTATCTGAATTTAAAAACCATTCCCTGGTTAAGGCCGTCAGGCGCTGCCCTTGGAGACTCATAGACCAAGTTGAAATTCTGTCACTGAATAGGTGGAAGACACTAGAGAACAGCAGAGAGGGCCAGGGCCTTGCCTAAAATTATACAGCACATCACTTGCAGTTCTAAGACTGGTACCCAGCTCTCCCAGGCTCAGAATATCAGGCTGGACCTTTTCCCTGCACGGGTTGGGGACCACTTGCATCAGAAGCATTCAGGATCTAAACCGCTCTCTGATACCCATTCTAGTACCTTTTAATTTTTTACTCCTTGCCCCTACGACTCTTGAAATATGGAGCCAATGTGCTGTCCAATTGGTACTGTAATTTCAGGTTTTCAGGTATAGTCTCCCAGCCAGGATGGATCCCAGGCTACAGGGGCATTGCTGAGTCCCAGCCGCTAGACCACCACAGGTTGGTGTCTCACGAAGCCGCAGCGGTAACTTCACTGACACTCAGGCAAGAGGAAAGAGGCAAATTTGTTTAGGGAAAGAATAAGTTTATTAAAGAAAAAAGGAACAGAAATAAAGTAGGACTCCCAGGCCAGTGGGACCAGACCAGGGAGTGGCAAGGAAGCCGAATGGACCTGTGTCTAGGGCATATTTAGACCTTTTTTCTGTATTCCAAAATCTCCTCGTCCTCTGTGATTAGCTTTCTCCGTGGCTGTATTCCCTGGGCAGCTGTGTCCAGCTTTACAGCTCTTATCTTAGTCTTTCTTTCACTGCCCCTGTCCAAGGTCTCTTAAAATTTACTCTCCTTATTAGCCTTAAAATTTGTTGTCCTCATTCGCCTTCCTGAATTTCTCTGTCCTTATCTCGGAAGGTTTCTTTTAACTTTCCCAAAGTTCCTGCCTGCACTGACCCTGAAACTGCCTAATTAGCACTAGTTTGCACTAGGAAATACTGGTTTCTGCAAGTTCTTGCTTCTGAAAATTGAGTCCATGAGAACTGGAGAACCAACTGCGTTGGAAAGAAATGAGCCCACTTTTTCCTTGAGGAATCTAAGGAGAGAAGCTAGTAGTTATCATTTATTGAGCCAATGTTTTGTGCCAAGCACTGTGCTAAGTACTTGACTTGTGTTGGCTTTCCAACCACCCTGTGAGTTAAGTACTATTATCCCCATCTTGCAGGTGTGAAACATGCTGAATGGAATGAAGTTTTTCACTCAGTGCATTACAGTTATTACAACTGGGATCTAAATAGAGATCTCTTGGACTCCAGAACATAACCATTGGTTCTCCAAGTGTGGCCCTCAGCTCACTGCTTCAGAATCACCCAGAGTGGGTGTAGTCTTGGAACCTATCCCTGCGTTTGCTTGGGAATCTGCATTTTATTTTATTTTAAGATTTATTTGTACATATAAGAACTGGGGTACAAGCCAGAGTTGCAGGGGACGAGAGGATTCACGAGAGACAGAGCGGGGAACAGAACAGGCAGATCGACCCAAATTCACTGCTGAGGGGAGCAGTGGGCGAGACAGGAGAGGTCTGTGCTGCAGTGGCTGTGGCAAGCTTCCTAGGTTGCGTCTTAACCCCTTGCGCCACCAGGGAGGCCCTGCATTTTTTTTTAATATTTATTTATTTATGCATACAAGAACTGGGGTACAGGCCAGAGGTGTGGGGGTTTGGGGGTGAGAGGATTCACCAGAGACAGAGTGGGGAACAGAACAGGCAGACTGACTGAAATACATTGCTGAGGGCAGCAGCGGGTGAGCCAGGAGAGGTCTGCTGCGCCACATGACTTGCTCCCTGGCTGGCCAGGGATCGAACTCATGCTGCAGAGGCTGCGGATAACTTCACAGTGCTGTGCTTAACCCCTCGTGACACCAGGGAGACCCCGGGAATCTGCATTTTAACAGATCTCTGTAGTACTTGACTATCATTTTACTATGATGTACTGCCTCCTACAGGAAGATTTAGAGATAACATATTCAGGGCTTGGGGGAAATCTAAATTCCATTTACCAGGTTTGATTTTTGTGCTTTGACATTACTCTTAGTGATTAGAAGCCGTCTGGCAGTTGCTTGTCACCTCTAATTTCTTGACACAGATTTGTTTATGACGCTTGGGAGGGGGAAGGGTGATTCCTTTTTCTTTACCATACATTTGTTAAACTGTCTTTCAGCTTTTCAGTCAACAAATATTTGGTAAGCACTTGTTCAGGGGATACAGCAGCAGTCATTGCCCTAGTGGGAAATTAACAGAAAAATAAATATGAGATGGTGAGATAGGTTAGGGAGAAAAACAAAGCAAAATAAAGGGGATGGTAGCGTGAAGCAAGGATGGGCCTAGAGGTAAGGCATGGAGGCAGCAATGCTGCTATTTTATATGTTATGTCTAGGATGAAATTGATGAAGGCAGTATTTAGGCAAAAAGCTAAAAAAAGGCAAAAGAGAAAGCTGTGAACATAGTCAAGGAGTAGGATTCCAGTTGGAGGGGCAGGTAAAGGAGCAAGGCTGGCTTGTTTGACTTTTGTCTAAGACACTAGTCTAACCCAAGTGTTGTTCCCCGTGGAAGAAAAAGTTACCAAATGCATGTATGTAATATGAAAGATAAAAGTAATTTCATTCTTCATCCTTCCATCCTGCTTCAAGCTCTTGGTTACCTTGCATTACTAAAATTAATAGTGCGCTTAAAAATGACTTGAAAACTTGGCCACAGAATATTGCTTTGAACTAGTTCCTGAGACCTCTTAGCAGGAAACAAATTTGGGGGCCATGTGGTAGTGTGGAAAGAGAGCTAAGCTTGGAAACTCAAGGATGAAGTTTGAGAATCTTGCCCTACCAGTTGAGCCAGCAACTAAACTTTGGTTTTTCCCATTTCGGAGAATGGGAATTCATACTCTGTTCCCAGACTTGTTGAGCAGGCAAATAAGAGAAGTGATCTTTCTTATCACATAATAAGTTATGTGATCTTTCTGAAAGCAGGGAATTCCTGTGCAACAAAACCATGGTTTTCCATTGTTATTTTTTTCTCAAGTGTTGGATTATTTTATCTTATATCAGACTTTATACTAGAAACAGCACTGTGGTGTGCTTGTTTTTATTATTGTTAGGTCTTATGGTGGTTCTTTTTGTATCACATAAGTGAAAATTGTTCATCATTTCTGATAACAAAATTAGGGATTTTTTTTTTTTTTTTTAGCTTTCATTACATTTACTTGAAACTTCACCTGTTTGTTTATGTCAATAAACATAGACACAGAGCCATAATACCCAAGTGGGAGGCATTATAATTGGTTCTGGGTTACATAAAAATGAAGATGACTTGGTGTCTGCCCCTGAATGTATGATAAATGTTTTCTTTTTTAAAGATTTATTTATTTATGCATACAAGAGCTAGGGTACAGGTCAAGGTGTGGGGGGTGAGAGGATTCACCAGAGACAGAGCAGGGAACAGAACAGGAAGGCTGACTGAAACACACTGCTGAGGGGAGCAGCAGGCGAGTCAGGAGAGGTCTGCTGCGCCATGTGGGTAGCTCCCTGGCCAGGGATCGAACTCGTGCTGCAGTTGCTGTGGATAGCTTCCTAGGTTGCGTCTTAATCCCTTGCACCACCATGTCCTTGAATGTAAACTTTAGTTTGAGAAACATGTAAGCTTTTTTTTTTTTTAAAGATTTATTTATTTATACAAGAACTGGGACACTTAAGTGCTACGTAGTTACATGTGCCACACTGGGAAGCATAGCCTAAAAGATTCAGCCTCCTTATACTTTCACCTTAGAAAAAGACCAAGATAGATGGAGATTGAAGGAAAAGACATCCCAGACTTAAGGAACAACATGAGCAGGGCCTCCCCTGGTGGCGCAGGCATTTGAGCGCAGTGCTGTGAAGCTGTCCAGCTGTCTGCAGCCTCTACAGCGTCGGTTCTACCCTGGCCGGCCAGCAAGGGTCCCACATGGCGCCGCAGACCAATCCTGTAGTGCCCGCTGCTCCCCTCAGCAGTGTATTTCCTCAGTCTGCCTGTTCTGTTCCCCACTCTGTCTCTGGTGAATCCTCTTACCCTCCCGTGCATCTGGCCTATACCCCGGTTCTTGTATAAATAAATAAATCTTTAAAAAAAAAAACATGAGCAGAGATGCAGAGGCGCAAAGGATACTGGTATTTTCGTGGACTGGTGACTCAAACACCAGTACATAGGAGAGCAAAAGGAAGGCAGTTTTAGGCCACTTTCTAGACAGAAGGTTATATTCAGTAGGAGGTGGGGAGCTGTTGCAGTTTTTTGAAGAGTGTATCCAAACAGTGTGACCTCATGGTAATGAATGCTTCCTTTGAAGAAGGGGCAACACAGCACAGTGGTCGAAAAAATGTTGGTCCAGTTTAAGGCTGAAGTATGTCTGCAACTTTCGTATGGTTCAGAAGCAAAAGCAACAAAACCTAAACCCACTTGTGTGGATGGAGAGTGCAAAAATACAGATGGCACAAAATGGTAATAATTTGTGAATTGTTAAATAGGTGAATTGTGAATTTTCCAGTATTTTATATATCATCCTTTCAACTTTTCTGAAGATTTGAAA